TTGGACTCTTTGAAATTTAGTTGTAGAAATGCAATGGACCAATTGGTTTAGTGACTTGTTAATAATCCTTGGATTGTCTGCTTGCATTGTGTTGCCACAATATAGAGGTTATGGTTGTTGAGATTGTCTGGGATTGGAATTTTTTCCTTAGTAAATCTACCTCTAACTAAATGACAGCTATTCTAATCTCATTAGGAACTTCGGTTCTTTTTGGTTTTACGTTGATTTTTTTTATTTTTATGAGTTTCATTTTTGTTTTTTTTTTTTTTTTCCATTTCAAACAACTCTTTTTCTTATGTTTTTATTCAAAAAATAAAATAAGAACAAATAGAAAACTAGTTTTATCATTTATGTGTTTTATAGATTTCAAGAATATTTTAATGATGGATTTTTTCAACCTATACTTATTGCCACCTATAACCTCTCTTATTTTATGGAGCTTAAAACTTTTTGATCTAGAGTATAATCAGCCTCATTTGAATGATTTGATAGACTGACTATTTCTTCAAAGTTAATTTTAATTAAAATTTTTTACGTTGCTTTAGGGCCCTTGTTTTATCTATGTCTGTATTTTTTTTTCCTTTAGCGCTTTTTTTTTTTATATATGTTTTATCTATTTGTTGCTTTCTAGCTTTTATTCTCTTATTTTGTGCCTTATGTCGGTGTGCCTTGCACTCCTTTAATCACTGCTTGCCCTTGAGATGAAACAATTGTTGGACAGGCAAGTTTTCTTCATAACTTTGTAATGAAGTTGGTGATCTTCCTAAGATTTAAGTGATAAGTTTCCTGAAAGTAAATGGCAGGGAAAATAACATCTTACTTTCGATTGAACTTATTGGAATGTGGTTTTAAGTTGTGGGTGTCCATGTCTGATGCATGTTGGAGGATTTTGTCATACATAACATTTTCATTCTTAAATGTTGGGATTATTTCCTTTCTATTTTAAAACTAAGCCTCCTTTTCTGCAGCTGCTGTTTGGTGTTGTTAAATTGTGAATTGCTTCCACTTATTTTAGTAGGTAGTTTGAATGTTTAGAGCCTCTTTAATCATACTATTTTTTTCATTCTGTTCAATTTTCTGTTTCAACTCAACATCCACTTTCCTTTCTGCTATTAGAAGCTCCTGGAATGAATATAACCAAGGTTTCACAGTATATAGCTGATAGTGTTGATAGTGTCTTAATATGGGAGTCGTCTGGCTTTGCATTTGATGAAAGAGATGATGGTTTCCAAAATTTGTGATCCTTTTTGATGCATCGCTATTCATTATCTTGGTTCAGCTTTCTATTAATCTTTGGGCGTGACACATAAGCCGTCTTACGTTAGAATCTCATACGCAATATTTGCAGGGGTACATGAATGCACTAAATAAACTTCTGAAGGTGCCTGTAGCAATCAATGGTTTCAGACCCAGCTATCTTTGACATACTGGTTTTGCATTTCTTTTCAAATGCATACGTATTTTGTTTTATGATTGCCTGTGCTAACATGCTACTTACTACTGGCATGTACTAGGAGATATTAGACTGTCTGCCTCTTAAGTTCAATCAAATAGTTTAGTACTTTATCCACAATTTCTGAATATGTTAAATTGTTCACTCATTGCTGTGTGAACCTCGGTGATAGTTGTGGGCCATTTTCTGAGATCGTCTGTAGGGCCACTGCCTTGATGAAGGAGATGATTTTCATTTGATGATTGGAGCACTGGAAATGCGATGTGTAATTTTAGGTTTCTCCTTTCTAGTATTTATTCAGTTATTATTATTGGTGTTATTATTTTCATAACCCTTTTGAGTTTGTAAATGGCCATTATAAATTTCCATTTTTTATTTAAAATTTCACCTAGTTTTATTTTTTTAGAGTTAGGTTAGTAGTGTGACATGAATTTATTTTTAATTTATTGTTTCTGCCTAATTAAATTGTTTTTTATGCATGACGTTAAGTATGTGTCGGTTTATTATATTTTTAGTAACATGCTAGGATTTTATTCGTGAAGCTGCGGTGAGGTGAAATGGAGATGGAGATTACTAATACTCATTCGCTTTAAATTGTTTTGGATTTATGAAAAATTGTGGTGTGTCAAATGAATAGAATGTTTGTGTTAGCTGAACAAAAGAGTAACGGTTATCAATGTTGTTTCATCGTGACCTAGACGCCTAAAATGTATTTTTGTGGTTACACGTCCGGTGTACTTAATGGTACTGAGTCTGAAAACATTTTTGTAACGGGCTTGTTTCTAATGTTGCTCTGTTTAATTGGTAATCGGGTTAAGGGCCCAAAAATTATTGTTAGAACGTGGTTAAGACCTCGAGATTACTAATCAATTTTTTTTACGTCAAAACAATAACCCATATGGGCTTAAAATGAGGTGAAGCCTCTACAGTGGGCCTTGTAAGTTCTCCAACCACGGTTTACTCATAGGCCTATGATTGCTGGATGGGTTTTTTATGATCCAAGATCAAGAGTTAATCTGGTTATTCACAATTAGGCCCAAATAACTCTTTCATGGGCCGAACATATGTTTTGATGGACCATTTGGTGGCAAAAACTGTCGGATTTTAATGGGCCAAAATTTGGTCCAAAACACTTTAGTGGGCCCAAATTTGGCCCAAAACTTCTCCAACATGGGCCGCAATTCGGCCCGCAGGTAATTTAATTGGGCAAAAACCAGTGACTAAATGGGCCTTGAGGCCCAAGTATATCCTTAAAGGACCCAAAGTGGCCCAAAAAGTTAACCGTCTGCATTGGGGCCCAAATAAAACTCCTTAATGGGCCACCACTCGGCCCAATTGACCTCCATTCCGCCCATCTTGTTGATCTAATTGGGCCTTCAGCCCATACACATCATTTTAATGGGCCACTTAGCGTACTAGAACGTTGATGCAATTGGACGTCAGGCCCAGATTCTTTGCCTTAATTCCCCACAGAATTTAGTTACTAGGGCTCCGATTAATTATATTGCAGCCCAAGGCCCAAATGTTTGCTGAATTGACCGGCTAAACCTCTTAGTAGGGCTGACCTGAGCTGGGCATTGGAAACCGAACCGACGAGTTACTCAAAAACCGAACTAAAAAAATGAATTTGATTCACTTTCAATGGTTTTTAGTTTTTATTTTATTTATTTATTTATTTATTTTTTTGGTTCCCCATCCGGTATCCGGGGCTTTACCCTGACTACTCCGAACTCGACCAGCTGTGGCGCACCAGAATGGTGGGTGGGTCTCCCAACGAAGATTGCTGCGTACACAAGGTCTCGAACTCGAGATCTTGCTTAAGCTGGAACAAACCGCTTGCCACTTGATCCAACCCCTCGTTGGTTTTATTTTTTTTATTTTGATATTAACCAAATAAATTTTGATTCAATTTTAGTTAAACTTTTTAGAAATCAAAAATAAAAAATAAGCCTCTTGAAATCAAAATTAAAATAAATGACTATATGACAAAATATGATAAAATATGTAATAAAATACATGATAAAATATAATTTATTATTAAAAAAATAATTGATTAATATTTATTTACCAAAAACCTGAAACTGAACCGATCAGTTTGAGAAAATTTTAGTTATTTTAAAACTGATTTCGATTTTAACCAAAACCTGTTTTTGCCCACCCCAACCTCCTAGGGTTATTTACTGGGCCTTTAATCCTAGTTACATTAATTATTCATTTTACGTAAAATAACAAGTAAAATAATTATGAAAACAAAAAGTTTGTGAGTAACCTTAGGCATCTAATTTTGACAAGAAACGAGAAATTTTACCTATCGCTTACGGCGAAATGTCTGCAAACCAAGGCAAAGAAGCGCGGAATGTTAAGTTCAAATATTAATGCGAATCCAAACCCATAAACAGTTATTCCTAACTTGACGAAATGAAACAAATTAACCCAATAATACTAACAAATCTCTTAAGATATCTAAAAAGGAAATTGCAGAACAAAAGGCGATGAGTCAGCATAATAAAAACAGATGCAACCAGATGAAATAATCAGAAAATCCCTAGCATGCTCCTAACCCGCTTTAACAAATTAAATTAAATAAAAATAAGTACCATAGAAAACCCAAAAATAAATAATGGCCACTTACAAATCCAAATGAAAATAAATAAAATTTAATAAAAAAATAACTATATAATTACTGAGAATGATGAAAAGCCTAAAAAGAGAAAAGCTGCTTTTGCTGGAATATGAATCCTTGGAGACCTGTCCATGAGCTCAGACATTTCGCAGCCTCGCCTGGAAACAACATCATGCTAACCTGCAATACCACGCACTTATTATCATAGTTTAACATTGGCAACACAAAAATCTTAGAATTATCCTTCCAAGTTGTATACAAAAAGTTTTCAAGAGCAAGAAGGTTGACTAAAATTTTGTTTTATAACATACCAAATTCCCTAAAAGATACCCCTAATTGTTTTCAGCTCTCAGGTTTCATCCCCATTCAGCTTCTAGTTATTGGAGGAAAATATAAAAAGGGAAGTCAGAGATGGCTAAATGAAAGTCTCATAGATAACATTTCAACCAATATCATTTCATGTAGCAACCAATTATAGAAAATCCCATATTGGGTTAAAGGTGGGAGACATGAGACGTGGCAAAAATGATAAACCTGTTAACATTCCTATTTAAGCAGCAGCATAAATTCTTAAGGCCTATCATAATTATATATGAGATGTTACTATGGCATAACCAATGCAATCAAAGCCAAAAGATGCCATAAACCCAAATATGTGTTTGAGATAACATAAAACTCAAGAAATTTGGTAACTTGTTTGGGAAAACAGCTCTAAATACAGCAAGAAAATGAAAGCTAGAATGGATTGGTCAACCCTAGAATAACAAATTTAACTCACATTTGGAACCATACATTTATAAGAACGGTGACCAAAATAAATTCTTACCACATAAGTAACAGCATATATTAAGATAACATCAAGAGACATTTGTTTAGTTAAAAATATACTACCAGTTTAAGAAGGCAGAAACTAAGCTACTGTATTGTTAAACGACCTTCACCCCTCCCCCAAAAAGTTATATTTCATAAAAGAGTAGCTCAAACATGAAGACATCAAGCCCTACCAGAGGAAACATATTCATTAACAACTTAGAAAGTTCAAGAAAAACAAGCAAAATCTAAACATACCTCCCCAGAACAATTTGCTCAGAATGCCAGATTGCCATCCCCCATCAGATCAAAAGCATGAGTGTGTTTGTCCCATTGCAATGATCCCTCTACTTCATTTGCTTGCATTCAAACAATGTTCTCCAAACTACCAACATGATGACAAGTAGTCAATGATAAAATCAACTAATTGTAGCAGAGAAATTTTGAGACTCCATTCAAATTTTTCAGAAAAATAAATTTAAAATATAACATAATTCATTGTTTGAAACCAGTGAAAACAAGAGCCTTCTGTCTACTCCCTCTAAAAGCAAATTATACAATGAAAATGTTAGTTAGAAGACTATTTAAGTTTCCAATTTTTTGTAGCAGTAACTGCAACCTCTCTTGTCTCTAGTAGGTACCAGATCAGCTACCGAATAGTCAATTTATCATAAGCATAATTCCATGCATGAATTTATCAAAAAGGAAGCATTGGCATAAAAATTATAAGCTTACCAATTACAGCATACCCTTAAGGTGGAACAATAAAATTTCCAATTATATATACATACACACACATTGGTTTCCTAGGAATTTTCATCAGCAGAAGGAAAACAAAGGCAAGTAAACTATTAAATTGCATGCTCCTTCTCGCATTGATCTTGGATATCAAACAATTAGGATAACCACAAATAAAACAAACAAAATCATAGGAGTAGACAAAAACGCATGAAACAAGATTCAGTATCAGGAAAATGCAGACAAGTGAAGAACAACCCCATCTCACCACCATTTTCCATAAATTTTAAGACTAGGTCTCATGGCAGCTATTCCAATTTTCCAGTAAATAAAAACACATGGAAACAAGATTCAGTAGCAGGAAAATGCATAAGAGTGATGCCATTTTTTCAGATATTCATTCTCACGAATTCACTTGTCAATGAAACACTATAACGATAACACAGAAAACAAACTTCATTAGATTCACCAGAAATGAAATCAATATTCCATAATTTACAGATAAAAAACCATTTTCTTACCTATAGATTCTCAGAACACAAACACCTTAATAAGAAATTAAGAACTATGGCAAAATCGAAGACACGTAAAAGAAATCAAAATAATCAACAAACAGAAAAGATAGTGAGTGCGCACCCAAACCGAAGTCGTCGACATTGTCGATCGCCATCAGGCACGATCTAGAACGTGCCATGAGGATCACTGCAACCACAGGAACCTATCAATACCGATCCACGATACGAAGCAGGGATGCGCAACATATCTGTCCTCGAAGGACCGGCCGGCGAAATAGGAGCACTGATGGGAGCCAGAAGCATCAATCTGCCGCAGTAGGACGCCGGGTCTACGGCCTCGAATCGGGACCAAAAATCGTCAAGAAAATAGCCAAACAAAGTATGATACTCAGATCGAAGGTCTTGCATAGCCGTTCGGCAACCATAGCCCCTTCCACTGTCGCGCGGCCCTTCCACCGGACGATTAGGGCCCACCGGAGAGGGGAGAAAGAGAGAGCGGTGAGCGGAGAGGACAGAGGAGAAAGCAGTAAAAGGATTTCCCAGATTTTCAATGCTTTGAGGGCATTAGTGACATTTACTCTATAGGATTGAATATGCGCCGTTGATTTTTTTGCACCCCAATCTTCAGATTAAATGATCATCTTCACGCCGCGTCACAAACGGGTTACCGAAGCATTAGAATTAACTGAACTTAACCGAACAGAAATTTTTGATTCGGTTTGAACCATGATTTCCCGGTTTCCTCATTTTAAGAAAATTTTGATTCGGTTATAATAATAATAACAAAAAAAAAAAAAGAATAGGAAAAACAAGGACATGCATGAATGTGTAATAATAACTACGTATTGTTTGGGCAGTTGCACAAACCCATACTGTAGAGATATTTCACTGCTTCAACATCTGAAAACTTGAAGATGTTTCCTTGGAAAAAGCATTTCGACGTGCAAGTTAGCAATACTCAATATTTTAAAGAGAAAAGCTTTCAAGAGTAATTGCAAAAAAAAAATCATAGTGAAGTTATTATTTTAAACGGAGATAGGTGGAGGTATTTATAGTCCTTGAGTAATAACATAATGTTATACATGTGAACATCTGATTAATCCACGTATAGGCATCCAGATGGATATGTCTGAACTAGTGGGTGGATGCATCTCTATTTTAGGTTTAGGGATAAACAATTAGACCTACTATACATGGCCCAAGTTTAGTGTTGGGCCCATTCCCAGCATGTATGGATTTGATAAACTTAAAATTTATATTATATTCTACATATTTAATAGTTATAATTAGACATTAAAATTTTTAAAATGTTATGATATATTGAATTTTTTCTATTTTTTTAAAAAATATGATTTTCTTAATGAAGAAAATATTAAGGGCCTATTTGTTTGTTCAAGATTGTGAAATAAAGTTTATGAAGAAATTAGTACATAATTGATTATTAAATTATTATAATCAACCATATTACTTCTTAAATTTTGTGTTAAAAAAATTTAATTATTTAATTTAAATCAAACTATTTTTAGTGTGGCTAACTCAAATTCTTTTTTCAAGGAAATTATATACAAGCCCTAAAAGTCACCCGACTACAATTAAGATTTTCACTTTCATGGTACAAAACCCAAAATAGCAATATAATTAATTATATTATTGAGATAATAGATTACATCGGCTTTATAATTCATTCTATCACCTAAATGCCCATGTAATCAAAAGAAAGAAGACCAAACAGACAAAAAAATGGTTTAACATTGGGTTAGAATTGAAATGAACTTGAATAGATTTCCCTTAGAAAGAAACCAGAACGGGTACAAGGACCACGCTGTAAAAATACTAATTCATTTTGTTTTAACAAATTAAAATTATTTATATATTAATTAAGAAAAAATAAAAAGTTCCGTAAGTTTCAAACACTCAATTATAAGAAGTAAACTGCTCGCAAAAATACCAATTATGGTAATGGAAGTTTCACAAGAAAAAAATACTAAACTTACAGCTTTAGATTTTCGTAAAATAAATCTATACCTTAAGCACAGGATACAGTAAATATATATTTTAATTAATTTATATTAAAAATTATAAAAATTAATTTTTTTAATATTATTAATACATACATAAAATTAATTAATTATTTAAATTGATATTTTTATTTTTATTTTTAATAAATTAACATAAAAAATTTATTAGAGAATTAAATAATATTAAATAATTTCCCAAAAAATTTTAACATTAAAAATACCAAAGCATGATAATTTTCACTTTCCACTTTTCTTTCACGGTTGTACAATTTGCAACATGATTTTGTTCTTTCCTGTTGCCGACATGATTCTGTGACTCCTACCGTTCCCACTTAAAGTGTTCTTCCTACAACGACCGTTCAATAAAAGAGCACCAATACTAAAATTCTCTGTTTAGTACATAAGATTTAGAAAAATAATTATGATTAATTTTTTTTATTTATTCAAAACTCATAATATTAAATATATTTATTTTTTAATAATATGTAAAAATTATATTAAAAATTAATAAAAAAT